GCCCGGGGCCTGGCTTGTGGGGTCGGGGCTTGGCTGTGGAGTTGGGTTATAGGGTCGGGGCCTGGCCGTGGGGTTGGGCTTATGCGGTGGGGCCTGTGCTGTGGGGCCAGGACTAGGCTTAGTTGTGGGGTTAGGGCCAGGCTGTGTCACTGAGGGCTCTGCTGGGGAGCTGGGCTATGCTGTGGGGCTGGGGCTGTGCTGTAGGGCCAGGGATTTGGGGCTGCCTACCCTCCCAGGCCCTGGGGTCATAGTGGTTTGGGGCTGTCTGTGGGCACAGCCCTCCCTGACTGCCCTTCCTCATCCCAACCTCTCACCCAGCACGTGAACATAAAACCGGCTGTATTTAATACAGCTCCTCATGGTGAACCTCTAATATATACCGTGCTGAAGCGGCAGAGACCCTCGCTCAGGAAGGTCCCACCGTGGTTTCTGGCAAGTTGTTTGTTGTGGGGTTTTTATTCTTTGAACTGGCAGTGTAACTGGTGATATCTGCTAAGCACACCAATGCGCTTTGGAGTTCTTCAGAGGATGCCGAACTACAGCTTGTTGCCTTAGAGTTTGTTTGTTAGAGGCAGTATGTGAAAGGCACAAACACCTCCTTCCCCCCACAGGCTCCTAGGAAACTCCGATGAGTCGCTTGGGCGGCGTGCCCCTGTCTGTAGCTCTGCTCGAGGCTGACAGAGGGATAGGCATCTGTACCTCCAAGCAGCTTCGTACTGGCACTGGTCAGGGCACGTGTGTGTGCTGGGACTCTGCCTTGGCTTTGCTCAGAATTGGGTTGCTGAGCATTTCCATTTCACTGCGGTGGAGGAGAAATTGAGCATTAAATAGTGCATCACTGGCAAAAGGTTGTGGAACAACCACAGTGACTGTTCCCTTCTGTTTGTTTGGTTTGGGGTGATGAACAGTAGGCAAGTCTGACTTTATCATTACTGGAGAATGCCAAGTGATCAAAGTTGACATTTTCCACCTCCCCCCCCTTGATAAATCCTGCTACGCAAACCACAGAAAAGGAGTAGGAGGAGCGTGACCCTGTTGCACTCTCCAAAATGTTGTTGTGAGGTCGTGGCCCGGTTGTCTGGGCTTTTGGACTGCTTTGTCCTAGTAAAGCACAAGTGGTCTGAGTGCAGCTTGAGTTGGAGAACACACATCAGAACATGGTTTCATTTTTAATGGTGGTTAGTATCGATCTCTGTTAAGCAGCTTTTGGTCACAGGAGAAGTCAGAATGGGCTTCTCTGTATTGAGTCAGACTTACTCAATCTCAAAGGTCTTCAGAGATTTTTAAAAAGCAAAGTGTAGTCAGTCTTACCCAGGAGTCCACAACAGGAACTTAATCTGTCACTGCAGGAACAGTGAAAAGGCCAGATCTGTGATTTGAAGTTCACTCATGTCCCGTTTTCACTGAGTTTCTAGCTTGAGAAAAAAATGTTTCTGTTCTTTCCATCAAAAACTTTAAGTTGGGAAGGGCACAACTTCCCAATGCTCTGGGTCAATTTTAAACAATTCCTAACAAAGCCAGCACCTATAAATACACATATCCTGCTGTCTCTGACTCAGCCGTTACTGAACCGTAGGATTGCTGCCTGCCTACATGGTAATACACCAGATTTATTGCTATTATTAGCTGACATGCAGCACAGAAGTGGGAGCTGTAGGGAGATTAAGCTCTCCAGAAGCTTTCTGGCCAATTCCTGTAACTTTTCCCTCTGCTACCTCAACTGCAGGTGCCTTGAGAAGCAATGGCCACAGTGGCTCTCCTGAACTTAGCACCATCTCACCTCTGCTTCCCTTCAAGCACAGCAGCTGCTTTCTCGTGGACAAACGCTGCTGACATGCACGTCACCAGGCCAAAATCTGCCAAGGGACGCACAAGGCCAAACTTCAATTACTCTCAGAGCGTGGAAGCCTGTCCTTGCCGAGTGCCATCTTCCCCACCACCAGCAGCTCCCCGTGAATTAGTGAACAGCCAGAGAGCATCGTTCACAAAACCAGCATTCCTGGCCAGCCAGGTGTCTCCTGAGGAAATCCCGGAGCTCCTGCGGCAAGTGCCTTTGAGGACCTCCTCTTCCCTGAACAAGTACAGGGTGCTCCCTTCCATCGGCTGGAAAGGCGCAGGGAGTGGTGCTGTGGAAGCGGTGGCTGAACAGACTGACCGGCTGAAAGTGAGCAGGGGGCGGGAGGACGCTCTGAAAATCAAAATCCTTTCTGGAGAACAAGACTCTGCCAGTGTGTTGTCAGAAAGTGATGTCCCTGATGAAGGGAGCTCACATGTGCGACTTCCTTCTGAGAAGCTGGGAAGGAAAATGAGGCAAGAGAGCCCTTCGACGTCAACGAGTCCTTTGACGTCAACTTTAAGTTTGGAAGAGCCGCCGAAAGAAGAGTCACACTTCCTGCTTGCTATTCGATCTCCCTGTGGTCAGAGATTTGAACATCATTTCAAGCCCACTGACAGTCTCCAGACAGTCCTTGCCGTGGCAGAACAGAAAATGTCGGCCAAATACAAACGCTGCAGCGTTGAAACAATGGAGGTGCCCCGAAGGAGTTTCTCTGACCTTACGAGGTCCCTCCACGAATGTGGGATTCTCCACAAGTCCGTGTTGTGCATCCGACAGAAAGAGCAGCACGACACCGGTCTTTAGGCGCACAGAGATGCTGCCACACCGCCTTGGGTCATTCTGCTGAGTGGGATGTGTTAATTCTTCTGAAAAACTGGGAAACTGATGTTTCTTGGGCCTACTTCTTCATCTTGCCATCTTCCCAAAATTCTCTGTGAAGCAGACTTGTGTATATGTGTTGAAATAGTATATTTCAAGCAAGATATACTTGCTACATAAATAGCATCTTTTTTCACAGGTGCCATCACAAATTGCTTCCTGAGTGCCACTGACGTTTGGCCTTTTTGGTTTTTTGAAATTGCCGATGTTCTTCTTTGAAAACTGAAGTTTCCGAGACCTCTCCCCTTGACCTTTTCTACATTTCAGGAAGGTACCACTTTGCAGAGTGGAGCCGGATGCAGAGGCACCTATTTGGGAAGGTAGAAACGGAACTGGTTTACTCTGGAGGACCATCTTCAGTAGGTTATCATCATCCTGAACATCTTCTCGAGAATGACTGAAAAGGAGATCAAACCCAAACCCCATCTGGAAATAACAGTAATAACCTGTTAATGGATTATTGTGAAGTATTAAATTGCAAGACCTGTGAAGGCTCAGCTCTTTCTGGATAACCTCAGTGCAGCTTTTAACAGTGTGACTATATCATCTTTTTAAGAACAGATAGTTATTATTTTGGCAGTATTGGTGAACAGCAGGATTTTCTACCTAGTTTTCCTTCTCTCATTCGACTTGTGTGACCCATAGGTAAGAGTAGATGGATAGTTACGATGAGATGTTATAAAATACTTCCATTTAACAACTTTACACTGAAATGAGTTATTCCAAGAAAGCAAGTGCTGCTTTGAGAATTTTTAAATAAAAATACATTAATTGGATTTGACTGAGGAATTGGTTCACGCACTAGACCAGTTTACTAAACCATCATTAAAAAAGGCTGGTAGGGCAACTTGGCAGGTTTTGGATAAATAAAACATGCTTGTGCTAAAAAAAAAAGATCTTCCAGGTTTCTAATGGAAGTTCTTATGGTTCAAAGGCAGTAATTCAATCTACTAAAAAAATGGGACACTTGCCACACAGATGAGCTAGTTTTAATAATTTGAGGTAAACCCAACTTTTTTTAACCTCGGTGTAATGGCCAAACCAACTTGAACAATAGTAGAAAGCTGACCCTGGTGTTGACTGAGAGCGTAGCATCTCCTTCTAAAGTAAGTGTTCAGGGTCCAGCGGCTTTATGAAAATGGTACCCAATGAAATAATAGTATTATCTACTGCTACGGGTGATGCTAGTTGAACAGTAGCAATCCTGGTGTCTTCAGGGAGACCAGGATATCGAAACATAGGGGTGCTTTTAATCAAACCTCAGTGGGAAGCAAAGTATTTCACTTAAGTTTCATGAACAGGAACAGTTTTCTGCATTTCATTCAGTGTTAGGTAGTTAATTCCCTTCTTCTGATTTTGTGTATACTATGTTACTTCCACATTTCAGAGTTTTCATACTGTGTGGTAGTACAGTCAATAAAACCTTTTAGGCTGAAACTTGAAGTGCTTTATGTGAACTGGAGGCTTAGCCATCACATCTCCTCTTAAAACAATGCGTGCCGTTAATTTGATGGCAAATACCTCGGGGACTGTCCCAATCAGACTTTGGACGGTCAGCTGCCATCTACACCATCTTGCACATGCCTTCCTGGAGTTTGTACCTCTGACCTTTATTAAAGACAAGATCGCAGCAAAGAAGGAAGCCCTTCGGATCAGTGACTACCCGCTGCTAACAACCACAGAGATGGTGACCACCACACAGCTTTGAGAGCGTACAGGGGGCTGCTGCTTTAACCAAGAGCAGAAGAATAAAAACAACTTGGATCATGGTGGACAGCACTTCTCATGCTGGAGGACATTCCTCCTGAATATCTCCATCTAAGATAAAGCCGAGTGAGTTTGGTCCTGTAACAAACTCACCGAGGCTACAGCATCTCCAAAGATGTGCATTTTAATTATTTCCTTTTCCACATCAAGTCTTGATCTAGGCAAGCGCAGTGCAGGGAAAACCCTTCTTCTCTCCCCCAGTTCTCCTCCTCTTCCCTTCAAAAGGCTTGTGGGGATGCAGGGGAGGTCAGGTCTTAGCAGCAACTCTGCCAAGTCCAGCGCAAGAAGCGCTAGCGGGGGGAAGAACAGTATTTATCTGACCTCATTTATTGCGTGGTTTCATTTAACAAGGTTCCTTGTGGGGAGCTTTTAAGAATTTCAGCATTAAATCAGGTGACGTTCAGTCTGTCACTGCTTTGGGAAGGTCATAAACAGAAAACTCATCAGGACTCCTTGCTGGGAACGTCCTTACCTAAGGCTTTTAGACAACAACAAAAGTAACCAAGCAAGAAATTAGCAGAGGCATCATTCAGTATGTGTTCTTTATTCCAATTAAAAGTACATTAGAAACAGCACACAGGACCAGCAGCAGCTTTCATGACAATTCAACCCAATACTCTGCTGTCACAAGGTCATTCAGCTGTACTATTAAAGTAGGTGATTGAAACAAGTCTTCCACTCGACACGCAAGCACTCACTCACCTGCCACTTTAAATAGGTTTCCAACAGAATAAAAATAGATACACCCCAGAATACAAAAAGTTTAATTTTAACAGTTGTTTTTTTTTTTTCACTAAAGCCTTTATACAAATTGATAAAAGGGTGCACAATTTCCTAAAATTTTAGGTACATTTTAAATGAGCCTTTTTTTACTTGGTAAAAGGATCCATGTTCCTGTCTTTGAACAGAATATGATGGCCAAAATTGCAAAGAAAATTCCTAGTTAAATTTACAATTTATACATTTGTTTTGAAGTGATTCCTGCACCGAGTAGCAGGCTGATGGCTGCTCACGCATGTCCCATTTTCCCCAAAAAGAGCTGTGCACCCTAAGTTCTAGTTCAGGAGCCTCCTTCTCCTGGAAACCGGGCTGGGGGAACAACCCACAGGTTTTCAGCTGTGCGCACGAGAATGGTCCCGACTGAACTGAAAGCCCGAGCACAGGAGTTGCAAATCATTCCTTCTCCGGCAAGGATCACCCTGGGGCGAGGGACCAATGACCTGTTTTGCACTACGAGCACAATGAAAGTGGAGCGCTTCCCGTCTGCAATTTGGCTGAGCAATTTAACTCAAAATTCTGGTACCGAAACATACTGTAACAGCTAAATTTGGTGTTCTAAAGGTATTTTTTTTGGTCAATACAAGCTATCATGATTTTTTTCTTTTACTCCTATTACTGATCCATGAAGCCCAGCAGCTCTGTACATTATTCACGCAGAGCTTCACAGCAGCATCTTAGAACTGGCACCACCTGCCTAAAGGTGACCAAACCCCACTCCCAACAGTCATTAGCATTTTATGGAGGTGAGTTTATTCAGAAAATTAATTAGTACAGTTCCGTTCATACTGCCCCTCCCTCCCCACCCAAACCACCTACACCTTGGTGAGGTTAAACGCTTCAGATGAACTTCTAGAGTACATACTTAAGCACTGTCACCACTGCACCGCTTTACGTATTGTGGCCATTCTAACAAATCAAGGACAAATTAAAAGAAAATACTGCCCAGTAAAAGCAACACGGCACCTGTGTTTGCGAGCATGAGCTACTGGAGACATCCTTAGGACAATTTACGTAAGGAAAAGCAGGGCAAATCCATCAGGAAGCCAGAAATGAGTCTTAAATAGCTCAGGGGAGCGCCAAAGAAAATGACAGCCTATTTTGTACAAGTTGAGTATTTAGCCAAAAACCAGCTGCCTTGTTTGGGGTTCTTTTTGTGTTTTGGTTTTTGGTTGTTTTTTTTTTCTTATGTAAGTCCACTATATATTCGGCTGTTGAATTTTAACTGATTAGGTTAATGCTGAACTTTATTCCAATTAAAAGCAATAAAGCTTTTTTTTTTTAATTTGTTTTAAGATAATTACATATTGCCCATTTTTTGGCAAGTGTATTTCTTAGAATTCAAAAGATCTTCCTGTTTTAAGGCTAAAACCAAGAAATGTTAAAAGCTTCTGTAAACATTTCCTCTTCCTCCCCATAGTTGCACAATTTGAAGTCCAACTGCAATTTTTAAAATGAGGTAATTTTTGTGTACTCATATCTTAAAGAGTCCTTTTCGGGACTAGCTGAGAGGCGTGCCAATCTGAACACTGATCCAATTGTAGTGGGAGAACTTCCACAGCAGGGTACACACCAGTTCCAGCAGCTGTAATTCAGTTAGTTATCTTCTCAATTTCATCCAAGTCGTCAGTATCCAATTTGTTTATCTTTTTGTCTGGGAAAGATGAGAAATAAGTCAGATTTTGTAACACAAAGCAGAGAAAAGGGAAAGCTGCTTTCTTTAGCTGGTCTTGAGGAGTTCAGGTTTATCCATGAAATGTTCAGTCAGCTTTTAAAACTACAACATAAAACTGTTTTCTTTTATCAAAGGCCCATCTGGGTACTCCAATGTTACCAATCTCTGGAACATCCATTTTAAGGACTATCCAGGTAGCTGGCAAACAGACGACTTATTTCTGCTCCTATCATGCATGGCATTTCACAAGCCTAAGTGACATTACACAAAACACAATGATGTGCTCTTCTGTGGTCAGTTTAAGGCTCAATAAATACCTGCTCAGTATACAGCTAGTCAAATCCTGCAGAAATGACATCTAATTTTAGAGAAAGAAGAAAGTCTGAGGGTACGTACTGAAATGTTCCTGGATTCTGTTGAGAATATTCATGCTGTGCTTGCTGTCCACCATGTTAATAGCCAGTCCTCGCTTGCCGAAGCGACCTGTACGTCCAATCCGGTGCAGATAAGTCTCATTATCTGGATTTCCATCTTTATCCACAGGAAGGTCAAAATTGATAACAACTGAGACCTGCTCTACATCGATCCCTGATAAAAAGAAAGCATTAGATTACACAACTACATTTAAACCACTTTACAGCAGGAACAGCCTCCTCTGGCCTGACCTGCGTGCAGTTTGGTCACCATTTCCAGGTTACCCAACAGCCGCATTTCCAACAGCTTTCAGAGAGCTGCCACGTGGCTGCCTCCGCATTAAGTGAAGAGTTAAAAGCCAGTCTCAAAGTCCAAAATGCATCTCTTCCACAATATCCTTATGGGGTACTTTGAAATAAAAGCTATCTGGCTGTTACACCAGAGAACCCCACTGAAATGGCTAATGGAAAAGCAGTTGGAGATGCTTTAACCAGCACTTGGATATTCTGGAAACTCTCCTCCTCTCCAAAGCTGTAAAGGCCTATTGGTTTTTTCCAAGTACTATGTTGTCTTAGCTGTTCTAGGATGTCAAATTGCAACACAAATTCCTACTGGAGTTCAGTACTCTTCACATTTCCGTATTTCAGAACATGTTTATTTTAAACACTGAGGGTCAGCAGTACAAGCCAGGCTTAGCGCCAGAAGCATAAAATTCTCACAGGATGGACTTTTTAATCTCGAGCTGCAGGAAGCCTGCAAGGAATCCTGTGTTTGCCCACAGGCATCTTTATATACGCAGACATGGTCAGCAGCCCAGAAATCCAGGAATTACTTTAAGGACCCTAATCTCTCCAGACTGGAACACTTGAGGATATGAATTCTGCGAGCCAGCCAGCAGTATCTTATCTTAGGAACTGCTGCTTCTGCCCCTCCCTGGCCCAGCTCTGTCATGCCCTACCTCTGGCACAGACGTTTGTGGTCACCAGCACCTTTTCTTTGCCCTCTCGGAAACGTTCGATCACTGCGGCTCTCTGTTCCACCATCATTTCCCCACTGAGTAATGCCACCTGATGGCCTTCCTTCGAGAGCTCTGCTGCCAGCCAGCCAGCTGTCTTCCGAGTCTGAAACACAAAGTGAGGCCCATCTT